GCTAAACAAATTAAGACTGGCTGCCAGAACTGGCAGGAAACACCCCCTTAAAATTTCAGCTCTCTAATTTTCCTGGCTCCTGAGTTAGCATCTTATTGGGAAAAAACTTTCACGTACCCGCATTCAAGTACGACGCATGCCCGATGTCTGGGTTTGAGCTCGTTGAGACTTACTTGGACGGGGAATGTCTTCGTAGAACTACAGTCTTTTAGCTTTTCAGGCCTTCGAGTTATGAACTTACCCGAGGAAAACTTTGGTGAACCCGTGCGTAGGTACCACGCATGACCGAGGGCTGTGTTTGAGCTCGTTGAGACTAATGTGGATAGGGAACATCCTCTTAAAATTTCAGCTTTCTAGCTTTTCTGGTTCGTAAGTTATCAAATTGCCCGAAAAAAATTTGGCGAGCCCGTGCGCGGGTGCCACGCTTACCCGGGGGCTGAGCTTGAGCTCATTAATACCTACTTGAGTGGGGAACATCCTCTTAAAATTTCAGCTTTCTAGCTTTTCTGTTTCGCGAGTATGCAACTTACCCGTAAAAAACTTCGGCGGGCTCTTACGTGGGTGCCACGCGGGTAAGACAGCCCATTTTGGGGATCGAGAGCCGTACGTGCATGTAGATTAAGGCCCCAAAGTTTCAGCCCTGTAGCTTTTGTGGGTCGCGAGATGAAAAATCGCTACAGAGGCCCTGCGCACACACAGACAACCTCTCGTCAGTGTGTGTTTTTCGCATTGTATTGCTGCAAAAAATGCATAATAATACACATATTGAATAATAATAATAGGTTAGGAGATCTTGGCATATTTTATAATTTTAGATGGTTTATGATTATGAAAGATTATAAGGAGATAAATATCTTCAGATTGAATAATACATGCAAGATGATATATACCAAGAAAGCTTGGACTATCAGTGTAGAGGATTTTCCTGTTAGTGATGTTACTAGGATAATCTGCTGGCAAATCCGTCTATGCGTAGTTCGACTTCCCTCGTAGTCGGCGATCTCGAGCTGGCCAATCGAATCTAAGAGTAAATAACTCTTACCCCGCTTATCATTAACTGGCGATTTGGGTGGTCAGTCATTTGCACGATCACTTGTACCTCCTTTACCACCTCAATTTGGCGACCCAAATTCCTGGGATTCCGTGCATATAACTTAAGATCATCCATGTAGAATTGGTGGCCCAGGTGGAATCCGAAACCCTTTAATCACCCCAATAGCGCCGTAGCAATGTATACTATAGCATCCGCGTCTTCCCCTCAGATATGTAAATCTGAGGGGTGTTTTACGGATGCTTATGGATAATAATAATTGAAACAGGATTGCGACCTCTGAGGACAAGGTTTGAGAAAGCAACCCGTACCATGTAGCTACAATAGTCTGGAGTTGTTTCTGTGGAATAAACGTGGTGCAGTGTCTGTATTATTTTAGGAATATTCGGACGATTCGGGTAGCGAGCCGGATGTGGATCTCGAGAATCAGTACTACAATGCAAAAGCCCTAAAAGCCGAGAAGCAGTTCGACAGTGCATTGAGTGCCTTCCAGAATGTGCTGGAGCTGGAAGCCGAGAAAGGCGAATGGGGCTTCAAAGCACTCAAACAGATGGTGAAAATCACGTTTGCCACGGTAAATGCAATTTCTTCATCTCAATTTATCAGTTTGATCAGGCCGTATGGTTTTCGTAGAATTTGTACAGACCTGGTATAATTTAATTCATCTTTCATTCATTCTCTCTAACGTAGAAGCGCTGTCACATAATACCTTGGATAATAATTTATGGTTTTTTATTAGAAATGGCATAAGAAACAATTGCGCCACTACATTGCAATACTTCGGTCCCTGATTCAACCTTTGGACACCCTCTTCCTTTAAAATTTTGAAATCTTAAGACTCTCTGACTTCTGGGATATAAAAGCACTCCTCTCCATCTTCGGAATCCAGAGTTATTCCAGAGCTGCTTTTTCCTGTTCCGGGGAACTTCGGGGCCTCAGAACCTCACCACTCTTTTCGCATTGTCTTATCTTACTTTACGTTGTATTATTTTAGTTAGTGCACATTACTGTAAATACATATACACATGCATATT